TGTTGTAATGTTCAAATCTATATTTTTTTTTCCTGAAGTTGGCTTCTTTTCACTTGCTGGATAATTAATCAGATATCTCTATTTTAAAATAATATATTTTCCTTATTATGTATGTATTTAAAGGTTTCAAAATTGTCTGCTACATTTCATTATATTTTGAGTTTTAACTCATCACATAATTAGTGTTAAAAAAGAATTTTTCTTAACCCTTAGGATTCTTTTATTTTTTTTAATCCTTCCTAACTTTTTCAGCAGTTTCTCATATTTGTTCTTTCTAATACAATTTGGTTTCTGTGTTTTCAATTTGCTATACAAAATATTACTAACTTTTGATGGCAACTGCATTTAAAAATTAGATTTTATTTTAATTAATATGTAACTCTTGAAGGTTTTATAGGATTCAGATTATTGTGGCTAGAAACATTATGTGTCAATCTATAACATTTTACATGATTTGTGTATGATTATTTTCCATTTTTTTAAATGCTCTTCAAAGATACATCATCTTTCTTTGTTTTACTAGGAATGCTTTTTAATTGTATCTCCTAAGGAGTGAATTGTTATTGTTGTTGTTGTTGTTATGTGTCATTGAGTTATCTGCAACTCATAGTGACCCTATATACAACCTTAAACCCTGCTCTATCCTGTGCCAATCTTATTGTCTCCGACACACCTACTCCCATTACCCCAGTCACTGAATCAATTCATCTCATCGAGAGCCGTCTTCTCTTGTGTTGTCCCTCAACCCTCCCAAGCATACACCCTCTCAAAGTACTGGTCCCTCCTTACAACATGTCCAGAGTATGTCAGATGAAGCTTTAGAATGCTTGCCTCCAAGGAGGAGTCTGGCCTCAACTTCTCTAGGACAAACCTGTTTGTTCTTCTAGCAGTCCATGGTATATTCAACACTCTTCTCCAGGACAATAGCTAAATGACATCAATTATCCTTCTATTGATATCAATTCTCCTTCAATTCTCCTGGTCATTGTCTAGTTCTCTGATGCCCAGCAAGTAATTGCAAAGACTATGTCCTGTCTCCAGATTGACATCGTCACTCTTCAGTACTTTGGAGAAGTCTCTGACAGCCGACTTTCCCAATGCAATTCATCTTTTAATTTCTTGGCTGCTAGTGCCAAGAGTGTTGATTTTGGCGCCAAGAAAACTAAAACTGTTAACAATCTCAATCTCTTCATGATGCTGCCAGTTAGCCCAATTGTGAAAATCTTTGTTTTCTTGATGTTGAGCTTCAGTCCATATTGAAGGCTACAGTCCTTTACCTTCAGCAGCAAGAGCTTCAGCTCCTCCTCAGTTTCAGCAAGCAGGGTTGTGTCATCTGTGTAACATATATTATTGAAGAATCTTCCTCCAATCCTGATGCCACATTTCTCGTCAGAGAGTGCAGCCTTCTGGATAATCTGTTCTGCATATAGATTGAAAAGGAGACACCCTTCCTAAGTTTGAACCATACAGTGTTCCCTTGTTCTGTTTTGAAGACTGCCTCCATGTCCAAGTATAGATTCAAGTATCTGACAACTGCCTCCTGGTTCAAGTATCACTTAATCATGAGCAAGTGTTCTGGGATTCGCATCTTCTCAGAGTCAGCCACATTTTGTTGTGGTCCACACAGTCAAATGCCTTTGCATAGTCATTGAAACACAAATGGAATCCGTTGGTACTCCCTGTTTTCAGCCAAGATTCATCTAACATTAGCTATAATATCCCCCCAATACTTTGGCCTCTTCTAAAACTGGCCTGCACTCCTGGCATTTCTCTGTTGATGTGTTGTTCCAGTTGGTTTTGGATATTCTTCAGCAGAATCTTGCTTGCATGTGATATTAATTATATTATTTCCACACTCTGTCAGATCACCTTTCTTTGGAATGGGGACAAATATAGATATTTTCAAATCAGTTGGCTAGGTGGTTGTCCTCCAGATTTCTTGGCACAACTTGGTGCACACATCCAGGGCAGCATCTGTTGAAATATTTCAATTGGTATACCATCAATTCCTGGAGTCATTACTGTAATTTTAAAAAAGACCTTAAAATCTTTATGTAAATATGGTAAGTAGCTTGTATGCTACTTTATTAATTATGTACTGCATTTCAGATGATATTCATAAGTAGTGAGTGTCTAGATTGATAAATGGAGTTTCATTCCTCTCATTTAATATATTGTATTTTCTTAAAATACTTCTCATTATGTGTGTTCTTCAATACAAAAATTTTAGACTTTGTAAAGTCTCTGTTCTTCTGCAAATCTTTAGGTAATGACTTTGAGACATACTTGATATTAAATAATTTTTACTATGGCATAACCTTGCTTGCTGAAACTGAAGAGGACTTGGAGTGCTTGGTGCAGAAGGTCAAAGACTGCAGCCTTCAGTATGGATTGAAGCTCAGCGTCAAGAAAACAAAGCTTCCCATCACTGGGACAGTTGGCCTCACCATGTTAGATAGAGAAGAGATTGAGATTGTTAGTGATTACAGCTTGCTGACTTCGCCACTAAACTCTTAGCATCAGCAGCCAAGAAAACAGTATTAGGAAAATCTATTGTCAGGGACCCCTCCAGAGTACCGAAAAGCAGCGATGTCAATCTAGAGAGTAGGGTGCACCTAATCCAGGCCATGGCCTTTGCGATTACTTTTTATGCATCAGAGAGCTGTACAAAGACTAAGGATAACAGAAAAAGAATCGATGCCTTCAAATTGTCATGCTGGAGAGGAGTCTTGAACATACCATGGATTGTCAGGAAAACAAATATGTCTATCTTAGAGAGGGTGAAACCAAGATTTTCCTTGGAAGCTTGTATTTTGAAACTCCATCTCACATACTTTGGCCCCATCACTAGGAGAGACTTGGAGAGAGACTTAGTCCCTGGAGAGAGACATTATATTTGGAATGTTAGAGGGACAGCACAGGAAAGGAAGACCCCAGATGAGATGGATTGATACAGTAGCTGGGGCAATGGGGGTAGGTGTGTTGGAATCAGTGAGACTGATCATGACAGGGCAGGTTTCAGAGCTGTACATAGGGTCACTGTGAGTCACAGGCAACTCAACAACACATAACAACAACAACAAAGTGACTGAATTGGAAAAAAAAATAAGACCCCAGGAATCAGTGGAATACCAATTGACATGTTTCAACTAACTGTTGCTACCCTGGACATGCTTACTTGTCTATGCCATGAAATTTGGAGTGTTGCTGTCTGGCCAAGTAACTAGAAGAGATCCATTTTTGTTACCGTTACCAAGTGGTCAAACAGAATGTTGAAATTATTAAATATCATTGCTATAATTTGCAAGCAAAATTGTGCTGAAGATCATTGAAAAACAACTAAGACATTTCCTAGAGAATTGTCAGAAGTTCAAGCTAGATTTATAAGAGGCTGTGACACCAGGGATATCATTGCTGACGCCATATGGATCTTGACTGGAAGAAGTTGATCCCAGAAGGATGTCTGCTTGTGCTTTCTTGATTATACACAGACATTGATCTGTGTGAGACATAAAAAATTATAGCTAACGCTGAGAAGTATGGGGATTCCAGAACACATAATTGTGCTCATGAGGAACCTAGACCAAGAGATAGTTGTGCAAACAAAGCAAGAGAACACTATGTGGTTTAAAATGAAGAAAGGTATATGTGAGGTTTATTTGTACTCCACATTTATTCAGTTTGTATGCTGAGCAAATTATTTGAAAAGCTGGACTCTTAAGAAGAAGAATGTGACAGCAAATTTGGAGAAAGACCCACAATTAAACTTCATTATGTAGATGACACAACTTTGCTTGCTGAAAGTGGGGACTTGAAGCACTTGCTGCAGATCAAAGCCTATATAGCCTTCAATATGGATTGCATTGTAACATTAAGAAAACAAAAATTCTTACCTCTGGACCCACAGACAACATCATGATAGAGACAAGATTGAAATTATCAACAACTTCTTATTTGAATCTACAATTATACACTTGCAACAGTCAGATCACAGACATAGCTACACAGGGAAAGTCTGTAGCTTAGACCTTTCCTCATTATTGAGGAGTAATGATGTCAGTTTGAGGACTAAGGTTTGCCTTATTCAGGCCATGGTCTTTTCAATCACTTGCTAGGCATCTGGGAGCTGGACAGTGAATATGAATTAACAGTGGAAAGATGCCTTTGAACTGTATCCTGGAAGTGTAATTGGAGAAGAGTGCTGTATATCCCATGGAATTACAAAGGAACAAACAGATATGTCTTGGAGAAGATCCATCCAGAGTGCTCCTTGGAAAGAAAGATTATAAAGCTTTGTCTCACATACTTTGGGCATGTTGCCAGGAGAGGGCATTCTTTGGAGAAGGACATCAGGCTTGGAAAGGTGGAAGAACTATGAGAGGAAGACCCTCAACCAGATGGATTTACACAATGACTAGAGCAGTGGTATCAAGTGTATCAGAGATTGTGAGCATGGCCCAGGCTAGGACAGGTTTCATATCTGGTGTTCATAGGATCACTACGAGTTGTACTTGAATCTGTGGCTTCTAACAAAACACAAGACCCTCATATTTTTGTGACAGATGTACATAATTTAAAAATATTAAAATACTTTGGCCTTATGGTTATTGCCATAATCTTAAATTAAATTATCCTAGAGATTCCCCCCAATATGTTTTCCTAATAAACAAGAAAGTTAATGATATGCAAATAAAGCATTATAGAGCTTTGCATCTGTGTAGGATATTCCTGACAACAGTGAAACTGTACCTTATATAATTCCTTTTTCATTACCATTCTCTCAAACCCACTGCAGGTTGAAATGTTAGCTATCAAGTTATTCATTTATTATCTTAGAGGGTTATTTTACTTATGATATTTGTAATTAAGAGATCTATTAAATAATAGAATTTTAAAACTTTTCTTTAAAATAGAGTGTATTAAAACAACTTGACTGTCTAAAAAATATTCCCATATAAGGTATCATGTGGTTTACACTAAGTATTACACTATTTTTACAGCTGATGGGGCATTCTGAATGGGACCACAAGCGGGGGCCCAGAGGATCCCAGGTAAGTACCTTATCCTTTTCCTTACACTGTGAATGAAGATTGTATCTTCTAAAACTCGGGAAATAATAAGAAGTCAAAAGAGGACCAGACAAAATTATCATGCCATTTGTTTTTATTTAGGTTAGCTGTAATTAAAGTCTGGGTTGCAAACCCCACAGGCAGATGCCAACATATTCTTCCTAAGAGCTTTCTTGTATCCCAGATTGCTTGTGTTTATATGAATGTCGATTTTATATTCATCTTGTCTTTGCAGAATACATTTTGATCAACAACCCACTCCCTTGATTTCACTCACTTCCTTTGATAATTTCTCTACACATTTTCTTATTTTCTCTGTCTTCCTGTTTTTGGTTAAATATTTTGAAATATAATCATAGAAAACCTTAAACTAATTAGAGATTTTTGTCTCTAAATTAACTGTCTTAGTCTTAAGCAAATAGAAAGATGAAAGGGTCTATTATTTTTTAAAAGAAACAAATTCTAAACCTTTCTATATTGCCAGACTGTTTTCATTGTCTTACTTTATGTCTTAGGCAAGGAGAAAGCTTCCATGACGCATTTATGCTTTTTAATGACCTAATTAGACAATGTGGATTTGTTTTGCTTCCATAATTACATTGCCTGACAGAATAAAGGCTGAGTTTTAAATTAAGAAAATTATCTCTTCTTCTAGGGTATTTTGCAAAGAAATATAAAAAGAATTTATCTCATAACAGGCTCTGTTTACCTGACTGTAAAGAGGCTAAATAAAAATTAAACAGTGTAACATTTTTACCTCTGCTGCCCTCCTTTTATATTCAACACTAAAGAGCATGATTAAAGGAAATAGAGTTGGTTATTCAGTATGGTGTATAAAATTTGTTATAAAGTGTGTATTTCTTCCAATTGTTTTACATAGTTTTAGTATACCTGTGTTACTTAGTTTGCAAGAACAACTATATTAAATTTAGGACCCTGAGAAAACAAGCAAAGTCAATGGAATATTTTCCATTAAGATTTTAATAGGTGAGATTTTTTCCCCCCATTATCAATTTAATTAGTAAATTGAGATTTTAACTCTGTTGTCATCTAGTCTTTTCTGACTTGCAGTGACTTTCTATGAGATAGTAGGACTACCTTGTAAGGTTTCCAAGGCTGTAAATCCTCATAGGAGCAGACTGTCACCTTTCTCCTGTGGAGTGGTGGGTGAACCTACCTAGGGATTTTCAATTAGCAAGTGAGAACTTAACTATTTTACTACCATATAAACTCAGTTAAATCAGGATTATAAAAAAAAAATAATAATTCATACCACTTTCTTTCTCTCACTCCTAGTTATACTTCCTCTGATCTGAAAAGACATACTTTCTCTGACAAGTCTCACTCTACATACATGTACAATATTTAAATTAGAATTTGAATGGTCTTATGTTGCTAGGTAGGTATCAAATATGAAATTAATGTACAGTAAGTACCTGGGGATCTCCAACCAGTAAGTAGAATTGGATTAACATGTGTAAGGATCCACGAAATTCTATGTCTTCTGTCTGTTGACACTAAAGACATTTTGATGTGTAAAATGTGCTAAGCAGTATGGAGGGGACATAATACATTAATGCAATACAGAGCTGTATTGAAAAAGAAATTGTTTAAAATATATATTGTTTTTTCAACAAATAATTATCTTCAGATAAGTTGAAAAGCAAACCTCACAAAAATGACTTGTGACAACTATAATCATAAAAAGCACAGAACTAATATGAAAAATATTCCAGACATTTTATATAGTTACAAGGCTGTGGAATGCCACATATGTTCAAATATTCATAAATTAAACATTGTTATATTTGAAAGTCTGAAAAAAAGTGATTCTAACAGCAAAGAAATTAATTAGAACACACTTGTCTGAATTATCATTATAAGCTTTGTGGTGTTTTATGGATCTCACAGTTTCCAAGATAACTAATAATAATGTCATATGACTATGTCCCACCTCAACTCATATAAAAATGATCAAGATGAAGAGCAAAACACACATACATACTAAATAATAACAGCAACAAAGCTCAGTACTCTTAGGAAATTCCACATGGGTAAATTAAATACTAAGTTTTTCATCTAGAACACTTATCCTTCACTTTATTTTTTAAAGCACTGTATTTCTGTTTCACATAATTGAGCCCTTTTATCACTCTGCTTTCCTTGAAAATACATCTGAAGCTTTGTAACATTTCAAAGATTTCACACAGGTTTCATTTGAATCCAGAGCTTTTAATATATTTTCTTGATACTCCAAAGTACTGCTTAAATTTCACTTTTAGTTTAGTGTAATTTAAAATGAGTTTTAAGGCACTTAATATGTGTAGAACACTGTTGTAGGTCTTGGAGGAAAGACTAAATGACAAGGTCACTGCTTTCTAAAAGCTCACAAATTATTACTTAGAATAGAACATGCTTTATGTGTAATTCACTTATGAAGCAAATAGTTATAGGTAACATTATATATACCCAAAAAGTCCAATAATAATCCAGTTAGAAGAAGGTATTTATTTCTCCCTTATTAAACTAGAATGTACTGTTGGCATAGTCCATAGGGATTTGTGATGATAACTCCAGAGTGACACTTCTTCTCTGGCAGTGCAAAGCTACCATCTACTCTGCAGGAGAAAGATGGGCAGTCTTTTCCTATATGATCTATAGCCTGCCAAAAACCTGGTGGAAGGCTGCCTATGAGTTGGTTCCAACTCAATGGCAAATAATTTTGAAATTTTGTAGAACTTGTAAATACTTCTTAGAGGGAGGATGTCTGAGATGTACCTTAAATAATATTTAAGTGAAAGCCTAAACTGAGAGATGTTTGCATGTGCACAAGTTCTCTTGATTAAGATTGCTTTCTAAACACTTTTGAAGCCTTTGAGCTGTGGTGCTGGAGAAGAATATTGAATATATCATGGACTGCCAGGAGAACAAACAGATTTATCCTAGAGAGGATAAAGCCAGCCTGATCCTTGGAGGCAAGGATTCTGAGGTTTCATCTGATATACTTTGAGCCTGTTTCAAGGAGGAAACAGTCCTTGGAGAGGGACATCATGCTTGGAAGGGTGGAAGGATTAGGGAAAGAGAGGGAGATCACCAAAGAGATGGATTGATACAGTGACTGGGGTAATGGGAGTAGGTGTGTCAGAGATAGTAAATTTGGCACAGAATATAGCAGCTTTCAGGGATGTTGTACATAGGGTGGCTATAAGTCACAAGCTACTCGATGGCACATAACAACAACAAACACTTTCTGGACAAGAACTGTGACAGGAGCTACTGTGAAGGAAGAATCTACAGAATGTCCTGAATGATTGACTAATAATGGAGAAGTAAATAGAGCCAGAAGTTTAAAACTGGGTATTTGAAGGATTATTGTTGTTGCTATTAGGTGCTGTCCAGTCAAATATGATTCATAATGACCTAATGCATAACAGACATGACCCCTGTTCTTGCCTGTACCACCCTCATCATTGTTTCTGACATACTGTATCATTTTAACCCTATGCTGCTGTCTCTATCAATCCATCTGGATGATTGTCGTCTTCTCTTTGCCCATCTTCCCACCTTTCCATTCATGAGTTCCCTCTTCAAGGATTATCCTGTCCTAGCAACATGTCCTGGAGGTGCTGGAGAAGAATATTGAATGTACCCTGGAATGCCAAGAAAACAAACAGATTCATCCTAGAGAGGGTTAAACCAGGCTACTCCTTGGAGGCAAAGATTCGGGGGCTTCATCTGACATACTCTGGACATGTTGCAAGGAGAGACAAGTCTTTGGAGAGGGACATCATGCTGGGTAGAGTAGAGAGACAGCGCAGGAGGGGAAGACTCTCTATGAGGTGGATTGATTCAGTGACTGGGGTAATCGGGATGGGTGTGTCAGAGGCAAAGCAATTGGCACAGGATAGATCAGGGTTTAGGGCTGTTGTACATAGGGTCGCTATGAGTCGCAAGTGACTCGACGGCACATAGCAACAACAACAGCAACATGTCCAAAGTATGTGAGATGAAGCTTCAACAGCATTGCCACTAAGGAGCACTCTGGCTATACCTTCTGAAAAACATCCTTGGAAATCCATGAGATGCTCAGAATTTTTTTTAACATCACGTTTCAAAGACATCAGTTCTTCTTGTATCGTCATTATTCATTATTTAACTCTCAGAAGCATGGCAAATGACTGAAAAGACCATGGTCTAAATCAGTTGCACCTTAGTCTTCAAACTTATATCATTGTGCCGAAATAACTTGGAAAGATTGGTTCAGACTTTCCCAATGCAATACCTTTCCTGATCTCCTGACCACTGGTACTAACAGTGTTGATTTTGGATCTAAGTAAGATGAAGTTGTTGAGAATTTTAATCTTTTCTCCATCTATCATCATGGTACCTATAGGCACAGTGGTGAGAATTTTTGTTTTTTTGATATTGAGATGCAATCCATGTTGTTGGTTGTATTGTTTGTTACACTGCAGCAAGCACTGCAAGTCCTACTCACTTTCAGTAAGCAAGTTTGTGTCATCTGGATAGCGCAGGTTGTTGATACAGCCTTGTTAGTGACTTTGAAGTAGGCCAGTTTACAGAGAAATCAATGAGTGAAATTTTAGCAATTTTAAGTAAGAAGCAATGAAGACAACTCAATTTCAGAAAAAAACCCTGTGATGCTTCTATGGTACATTATAACGACAGTAAAGCAGAATAAGTACATTTTAGATGCCATCTTGAGGACTAAGGTACACCTGACCCAGACTGTGGTATTTTCAGTACATCCACTTCCTAAATCACATGCCTCTGGAAACTCTATGAACTTTGATAAATTTCAGTAGTTGTAGAGGAGCTTCAAGCCTTTTGTTCATAGGGTCGCTATGAGTCATACTTGACTTGAAGGTAGTCAACAACAACAGCAATAATAATAATTTCCAAGTCAGGTGATTAAAACTACCCACCCACCCATGGAGAAAGATGGACAATCTCTTCTTGTGTGA